CACATGAAAAAAGGTCGACTGCACATGCCGCTGACCGGTTCTTGCACCGGTAAAGAAACCCTTTCAGCCTTTGGCTGACGTCAGCGGCTTTCGACCAAGGCTTTCCAGCGCACCACGTCCAACCTTCTTGTTCTTCTTCGCGCTGGTGAAGCTTGGGTCGTAGGCTATTGCCCAGGTCCAGGTGGTGAGGTAGCGAAGCATGCTATGCCGACTGTCCTCCTTCTTTTTTGTCAGGGCGTCAGCTAAGTCGTAATCGCTCGCCAACCACCTCAACTCACAGCCAGTTCTCTTGAGATTGTCTCTCAATTGAAAGGCTTGAAGGGCCGAACGCAGGTTCGACAAGCCCAACAACGGGGACTCGTTCACCTCCACGGCGTCGTAGCCACCGCGAGAGTCCGTGCAGAGCACGCCACGAACCAGGCGAGCAACAGCTTCCATCTTTTCCACCAGGTCGATGCCGCGGAGCTCCTTCACATCGAAGCTGGCGCCATGGACTTCTGCCCACAAAAGTCTTGCTCGGAATCCAACATCCTCTGCCTCTAGGATCGACTGGATCTCCGAGTCGTTGCTGCCTATTGCACGACGTTTCAACTTCCAGGTTCTCCATGCCAGCAACATCATCCGATGGGATGATCCATCGAGGCAGGCTGCAGGAGCTGCAAGAAGGACTAGACCTCCAGTGCTACCACCCTTGCTTCTATTTGCATGGGCTTGGTCTCCCATGGCAATGAACACAATGTCATTCCAGCAAGGGGTGTTGTCCAGGGCAAAGAACTCACGCTTGGTGGACTGGTTCCTTACCTCCTGTATCATGCGCTGGATTTCTCTTGCATGCTCAAGCGTGCCAGCAGTGGTGATTTCTGAGAGCAAAAGGTTGCAACGGGCGGTCAAAAGTGGTTGGCTCTGTATCGCAAGCCATTGAAGGCCGCCCAAGGCTGTGCGGCAAGCTCCAACCTCTTTCGGAGACAAAGGGCCTTGTAGCCGAAGTCTTTCAGGATCGATGTCAATGTCCGGCAGGCTCTCTATGTAGGCCTCTTGCTCGGAGACAATCTTGAAGGTGCCGTCCTTGAGGTCAATGGTGTGGACATCAGACCCTGCATGGCGATATGAGCCAGTCTTCTTCGATCCCCACTGGTAGGAGGATTCCAGGGCATTGCGAACCTCACACCACTCCTGAGAGTTTTCATCACCAATGAGGTGGAGGTCGTCGACGTGGCCTCCGATCAGGCCGATGAGACGTGGAAACTCTCCAGTCTTGTCCCGTTCAAACTTGGAGTACCAGGCCCATAGACATCTCTCACCACGGATGGCCACAGCGCCAAGCTCCTTGAAGCGAGCATCCAGGGACAACCAAAGGCCGCGTGGAGCCGTAGTGCTGCCGTATATGTTGCGCAAGATTCGCATGCAGGAGTTGTCGGGAATCTTGAGGGCCTCACGAAGTTCTGGCACTCCATAAGTCCAGAGACGAGCATCTGCCTCTGTCGGAGTGGTTTGCAGGAAGGCACTAGCAAGATCTAGACCCGTGAGCCGCCACTGGTAGAAGGTGGAGACCATGTAGATGAAGTGCCGTCCTAAAGTGCTGATCACAGGAGCACTGGTCTTGAAGTTGCGGTCGAGGAGGTTGGGATGCTCGAAGCCAAGCAAAACGATTCTGGCCTTCGCCTTCTTGGTGCCTGTATGGTGAACCATAGTGCTCTCATTGTTCTGAGCATCGGCGAGGGCTTCTGCTTGTTCATCAGGAGGAATGGGCTTCCACACCAGGACCCATCGTGCTCGCAAAATGCGACCGGAGCCAAAAGCATCTTTCAACTCATCATCACTCAAACATCGACGCACGGCCTCATTCTTGAGGAAGGAGGAAACCTCTTTGGCTTTGGCACGAACAAAAAGATCTCGTTCAGCCTGAGTGAGATGCTTCAGGTTCACCTCAGAGCTGTTGAGCTTCTTGGTGAGGAAGAGTACGGGGTTGTGGATGAAGTCTCGCTTCTTCTTGTGCGAGTTGAGGTCCACTTCAATTTCAATCGTTAGACACTCACCGTCATAGCCTTCAAGGACGTTGAAGATGTCGTTGTGGGTGATTTCATGTTCTGCTTCTTCATGAAGAAGTTCCAGCCATTTGAGGTCATACTCATTGCGCTTGAGCTTCTTGTAGTCCGGTTCGTCGACCGTGGAAGTGGCTTTCTTGTCACCCTCAAAGCGAACCTTCTTGTAATCGGGCTCGTCGGCGGTGTTGTCCAAGGGAGGTGCAGTCTGCTTCTTGTCCTCATATTCATTCACCGGTCCGTCCTCCTCTGCACTTGTGGGGTAGTACTCATCGTCTGAGACCTTCAGTGGAGGTGTCCGTGAAGACGAGGAGTTTGCACCTTCTGGTAGAGGAACAGGATCTGGTAGGTATTTTGGAGGACGTGGAGGCTTCTGTGCTTCTTGTCCGATCGGAGATGATCGATGAACTTTCTTGTAGTCCTCAGGCCGGAGAGTGGACTTGCCAATAGCTCGTCGAATTGGAGCATAGGTCGTGCCATCAGGTTCTGGAGGTAGATCAGGGAGTTCTCGATCTTCAGGGCCAGGAACCTCGGAGGTGATGTCCACATACTCACGTCGAGGAAGAACGTCTTGAAGTGTCTTCCAACTGGAGGGATCTTCACCAGAGGTCAGCTCGTAGTGAAGCCGTTCAGATTCTGTCACCGGTCTGACGGAGTGGACCGAGCAGCGCCAGAGTTTGCGCCCAACCAGAATCCAAAGGATATGCTGACGATCATCTCCTTCATCTTGATGAGGGACAGCCTCGGCAAAGACAACTCTTCCAGGACCTGCCCAATGTGGGCGTCCCGACTTCTTGTGGCCACCTCTGGGGCCTTGATGTTGTTCACCAACTTGTACTTGACGCCATACCATCACCAGTTCAGTTGGCTTATAGCTTCGCAGGGGCTGTTTCACGGTGGTGTTGGTCAACTTGCTCAATACCCTTCTCGCACGAGATCTTCTGGCGATCTCCTCTGCAGCAAGACGAGCTTGAGAGACATTCACAAAGTCCAGTGCTGGGTCAACTGCTCGCCAAAGTCGAACATCTTCATCTGAGATGGAGAACTTGGCGCCAAATGCCCACTGGTGTGAAGAGAAGCCAGCAGTGTACTCGGTGCTGTTCAAGGCCGATGTGGTCAGGGCCAAGGTGACTTCAGGCTTGTTCTCCATGGACTCAGTCTGAATGGCGGTCGCCACATGTTTCACATCTTGGATTGCCGCCTCAACAATTCCATGTGACCATGGTTCCTTCTCCGGAGGGAAGCGCAAGAGGATGTTCTGCTCCATCATGAACTCGTGGAAGCGGTTGGAGATGAAGCTTTTTGCATTGTCGGCCACGATCATCTTGGGCTTTGGATACTGTGCCAGCCAGGCCATTGATAGAGCCCGGATCACTTCATCGGCGGATTCCGCCTGCATGGAGAGCTCTGGATAGACCTTGAGCAGGACAGCAACACGAAGCTTCGTAGCCAGATCTATCATCAAAAGAAACTTGCACTCTTGTCGTTGTCCCGGAATGGTCCATTCGGCCGTGTCTAAGCCGATCGCCTCCCATGCCTTGCAGAGTGAGTGGGTCGCTGCTGGAGGCACCTGACCAGATGATTTGCTGCCAAGCTTCAGGGATTGGCAGGTTTGACATTTGTGTTCCAGCGCAGCTTGCACCTTCCAGGCCGGTGATCCAGAGTCTTTGACCAGTCGAGCCAAGTTGCGGCTCGTGGGATGACCTGCTGCTCGATGAAAGTGGTCCAAACGAGCTTCCCATTGTTTCAATTCCAGCTCCGTGGGTTGAGGTTCAGCAGGATGTAGTGCGGATGAAGAGTCCTGATCTTGTAATGCAGGAAGTCCCCAATGTTGTTCTTCCGCGGCAAATAGTTCCTCCTCCAAGGTCATCATGGCTGGTACATCTTCCGTGGCGAAGAGCAACCGGTGGTTGCGGTCACTGATGAGTTCCTGTCGCCAAGCCATAGCGATAGATTTCACCAGCCGCCAGGGGTAATAAGCGCTCTTGGCTGTCTCAATGCCTTGGATGTATGAGTGAGCATGGCCACCAGGGCATACTCGAGCTCTGAACTTCTTGTGGAAGTGAGGACTTGTCGTGCGCACCATCCATTGCTTGCGAAGAAAGTCACCTTCGCCGTCCCTTTCTCTCAAGCCAAAGACACATCCGTCTATACGGCAAGGTAGCCAATCACGGCCATGACTCTCCAGGAAGCTGGCCAGATGTTGAAGTGCAGGTTCTTGCCATCCGACACAGGGATATGGCCATTCGAAGAAGATGTCCATGTAGGGGTCCTCAATAATGGATTCTTCAATGAATCGAACAGCCTGCCAGAGCATGCGGCGTTCACGTCGCCGGTAGGAAGCCAGTAGCTCTTGACGTTCTGGTGAGGCATAGTTCAATGAAGACCATCTGCACCACTTTGTGCAGGGAAGCGAGAACCATAGACGTCGAGGACGGTGTCGTTGGCGAAGAACACGTAGATGTTCCCAGGTCTCACGGCGGTAGAGGTCGTAGCCGGAGGAGAGGTTGATTCGCCTGGGATTCAAGCCTTGTTGGTCACAGGCTTGTGAGAGCCACGAATGTGGTGAGCATGCAATCTCCCACACTCCATCTCTGCCATCCATGAGGAAGTCAGCCGCCATTGAAGTCATAGAGGTCACCATAGTCGCCACCATCATCATCAGCTTAGTCGCCATCGACCTCTTCAAGGGTGAAGCTTGTTCTGACTTCATGCGTCCTCCTCCAGGTAAGCTGTTGGAAGTCCTTGAAGTGGAGTTGGATCGCTTGCTGAACTTGTGGTCTTGGAGCGGCGATCTTCCAGAAGGCGCATCAACTCCTTCATCTCGCCATCCTGGAGGTAGGCCTTGAGGTCCTTCTCCAAATCGGATTCCGGATGGCTCTTCTTCGGAGTCGCTGCAGTCGATGGCACCATGTCCCATGACTCCGGTGAACTTGAGTTCCCAGTCTTGCGCTGAGGTGGAGAGTAGCGCTTCCGATCCAGATCGCGCTGAGTGGCATGGTCCAACAACTTCTTCTTGACCAGGGTGGTGAGAACCTCCTCGGCGTCGATCTTCTTTTGCATCGCCAGGCAAATTTCGGCAGACGGTGGTGCCGAGTTCATCAGCTTCTTGACCTCGGTGAGCATTCTCAGGGTCATCGCAGGAGCGTCCATCTTGGTGTTCTGACCATGGCTGCCTTGTCGAGGCATGTAGCTCAACCTCAGGTTGCACACCGTGCAGTGGATCCATTGTCCGTGAGGATTGGCATGAGGTGTTCCGGGATTGCGCTCCCCGAAACATGGCCATTGGTCCGGTGAGGCTCTGGGATCGCGAGAGTCCAGGCCCACCTTGCGCTCCGGATCGAACGGGCGAGCTTTGCCCTTTGGCGATCCTGTGGTGCTCTCCACCAGGTCCAGGTGTTCCTGGCGGATGTCCCACATAGTGTCCACCTCTTTCTCGGTCATCTTGGAAGGTCGAGGTCCCGACATGGCCCGACGAGTCTGGTGGAGAGGTCGAATTGGGCGCCACGAGGTGATGCGATTCACTCATGAGCACTGAGGGCTGCGGCGGTTTTCCAGGCAATTGAAGTTGCCGTGCATGGGCATGAAGTTGAAGCAAGCGCCGAGACGAAGTTTGAATGCACTGCTCATCAACATAGTTGTCAACAAAACTGGTGAAAAACTCCAATGGCATGAACTGCAAACAATTGGTTTCCAACGTGTGGTGCTCCATGTTCTCATGCACAGTGACTCGAGGATGACCTTCGGTTCGACGAAAACCCTTGGTGAGGAAGTGCACAATGTCCAAACCAAGTGGCCTTTCTTGTTCTTTTCAAGCCGATATACTTTGGGGTCTTCCTCATAGGAGTCCAGTGCCAAACCCGTCAAAAAATCAATCGACATTGCCGAGCGAGCTCCGGAGAGGTGGTCCATACCAACCAAAATAGGAACCAAAGACGATGAATCCAGTGTGGCCTCCTTGGGATTGGGAAGTGCAAACAACTTGAACTCACGGTCGTTTCCAGAAACATTGGAGGTGATTGTTGCGCGATAAAGAGCTTGTCCCCAACGGCCATTCCCAAAACGAAAGTAAGGGCATTCAGCACTGATTTCAACTCGAGCTTGATGATCGTGCTGTAGAATCGTGGAGATCAATTGCTCCACAGCCAATTGAGGACCAGCGGACGCTGTTGCACCGCAGTCTAAAAGACCATGAGAGGGTTGCATCCTCTCGGAGGAAAAAGCATCATGCTCCTGGGTCTGGAGCTCCATGCCGCCCAGGAAGTGGTGTTCCGCTGAGTAGGCATTCACAGGAGGTCTCGTTGAAAGACCTTTGCCCTTTCTTTTGGGGTTCTTGCCCTTGGACCAAGCCTGTGCTTCAAGCCAGTGGTGGCTTTTGCCTTTCTTCCCTTTCTTGCCCATCATGTAGTCCTCGTAGAAGAACATGTCCGGGTCATACTCAGAGAAGTAGGACATCTTGCCCTTTCCCTTCTGACCTTTCCAGGATGGGTGACGTCTGTCAGGACATTCTCGGGAGAGATGAGGTCCTCCGCAAACAAAGCAAGGTCCACGGCCTTTGCCAGTCATGGGAGGATTCTGACCGAAGCCTCGATCGCGACGCAAGGCCGCAGTTTGGCGTTGAGCGTCAGCCCAAGTCCGGTGAGCCTCAGTGGCCAGTGCTTCTGCCATTTGCTCAGCCTTCTGAGCTTCTTTGACCTCAGGATCATCAGCCTCAGTCTTCTCTTCCTGAGTCTCAGCGGCATAGCCATCTGCCCAGTCACCCCCTTCGCCCCAATCACGCCAAGGATCAGGTGAGGCATAGAAGGCGTCCCACGCCCAGTCGTTCTCACCCTCGAGCTCCTCAGTCATGTGGAGCTCTTGGAAGTGCTGATGCCCGGATGTCATAGGCGAGGATGAAGTTCGAGCACCAGTGAATTGCTCGTCCCACAAGGTTTGAAGGGCCTTGTTGACATGTTCAAACTCCAAGGAACCGCGTGTGGCAGAGAGAATGTCTCTCCGCTCTTCGGCCGACAGGCCTGCAGCTTGAAGCAACCTGAAACCCCTCAGTACGCCGAGGACGAACGAATCGGCGAAGCTAAGCTCGGAGAGCTCTTCCGGTTCACCTGCAGTGAAGGAGGGTTGGACTCCAGCCGAGCGGCGACTAGGTGAGGAAGCTGGTTCATGTGGAACTCGATGATAAGCACCTGAAGGTGATCCGCTCTCAGCTGCTGCAGCAACGTTGGGGTTGAAGTCCTCCGCATTCGGTGCAGCATCCTCTTGTGTATCTTCAGGCCAAGTTGCCCAATCGTCATACCATCTATTCCAGTCGCCATAGGAGGTGGAGTCGGCGTCATACTCGTACTCCTCATCAGGAAGGCCAAAGTTGCCCTCTTCATGCTTGACTCCCTTCTTCTCCTCAGCCAGGCGCACCAGGGACTCCACGAACTCAGCGAAGCCCAAAGACTCTCTCACAAGGAAGGAGGTCATAGGTTCGTTATGCCCCCGACGGAAGTCAAAGTATTGTGCACAAATGGCTGAGGCATTTGGGATGCTCTGTCGAACAAGTGGGCTCGCGGCCAACCTCTGGAGAAGCGTGCGAGTGCCATTGTATTCATCCAGAAACATGTCGCTCCAGCTCATGGCCAACAAACGAGCAGCTCCAGACAACTTTGCCAGCAGCTTGGTGGCCACATAGCGTCTCTTGCTGACTGGTGTGGCTCTGAAGTACCACGAAACCTCGCGCGTGTAGCGCCTCCAAGTTCGAGCCGTCCCATCCCAGGAAGGCACCTGGTAGTCGCCCTTGTCGGTCATGGTTCACTTCTCGATTTGTGCGGTCGAGAGATCCGCTCTGCTCAGGGAAACCCTTGTAGATGGAGAAAAGGAAAAAACGTGGGGCTCAAAACAAATCCAAGTCGGGTCACCGCTCAGGCCAGTGCCGTTGAAGGTCTCGAGAAGGAGCGGTGCCTCAAAGACAAGGATGTAGGGTGGCGAAAGCACCTGCGAGGAGATCCAGTTGAGGATGTACTCAAACTCGTTCAGGAGCGCCGCCACCAAAACCCAAAGGCAGGAGCCAAATGCTCCGCTGCCAATGCAGCGGGTGCGCAGGGAGCA